AGACGGTCGCCCGTCTGCAGTCATACGGAACCCTGCTCCCAGCTCCTCCCCTTCTCTGACGGCGCCGTGTGCACCTCTGAAGCGCTTGGGCCCTGGGCCAAAGGTGACCTTGAGCCGCATGGATGTGATGGGTGGCTGGGGGCAGCCTCTCTGGTCTGCTCCCTCAGATGTTGTATTACGATTGTTACGTTTAGTATCATGATTATTGTCCTGATCACTATACGCACTATTTGAAAATTTTTTTACTGTAGTATTATTGATAGTCTTGCTGTTACTGGTACTGTCACGCGGAAGTTAAAGTGCCCATGTGAGGCTGCAGTGCACTGCCCAGTCTGTGGCGGACTACACGACCTTTACAGAGGCTGGTTAAGGGCCAGAGAGCAGAGAGTTTCCCTATAAAATGATGATGATGATGACCATGAGGAGCATGCAGAGGAGCATTGTTGTGATCGTGGCAGTCGTGGTTATGATGACAGCATTATGTTGAATGGTGTTCATGTTGTCGTTCATGATTCTGATAATGCTGGCTCTTGTTGTGCTGCTGCTTCTCCTGCAGCGGCCCTGCTCTTCCTTGTCGTCCTTGTTATCGTTGTCTTTGTCCCTCGTCCTGGTCGTGCCTCGTCGTCCTCGTCCTTGTAATCGGTGAGTCTTGTTACTCGCTTGTCTTCTTGCAGTTTCAGGCTTTTGTCCCGCATTCTTATCATGATTGGAGCTGCTGCGGTCCCGGCTCCACCGTTTGCAGGTTCAGGCCCCAGCTCCGTTGTGGCTACAGCTACACGAAGCAACGGCAACGACCATGAAGGCAAAGTACCGCTTGGGCGCGGGCCGCAGTTGCACCCGGCTGTTTTTTGAGAGATCATGTCACTGGCAGTGCAGATGCGAAGTTCCAGCAAGTGCCAAGGCTACATCATCGATGAGACGGCTACCTGTGACTGTGCGACCTTGCGCCGACCCCAGGGTGGTGCGTGTGTAAAGATATACATATGTGTAAATGCATAAATAAAAAGGTATGCATATGCACATACATACATGTGTATGTATATACATATACGTGTGTGTGTGTGTGTGTGTATGTATATATATATATATATATGCACACGTACGTACTGGCAGTGCCGCGACGCTGTTCCCCAGGTCTTTGGAGCTCCGGGCCGATGATTCGGATGTCTGGAACTTCTTCCCGGGACAGGATGACAGCTGCACAATCACAGGCTGTGCCAGGGAAGTTGTTTTTTCGAGGTTTTTTCACCCGGTGCCGGGGCTCCTGATCAGCAGTTTGGGGGAGCCGAGAGTCAGCTGTGGTGGCTGTGGCGTTTGGCTCGAATGTCTCAGCCAACTTTTGGGGCCAAGGAGCTTTCTATTCAGTTCTGCTACGGAGGTCTCTAGAAGCAATTCTTTCGGCAGAGATTGTTGCCAGGCAGTGTCTCTAGGTCCAGCGCTTTCCGACTTAGGGTGCAGAGAGTTGACTACCGTCGATACTATGCACCGCACGGCAGACCGCCACTAAAACTTCAGACTGGGCTCAGCCGCCTTCGTGCAATCGTGTGCAAGTCAATTTTCCCAGCCATAACCTTGGTGCTTTACGCTTGCAGCGATGTCTGCCAGGTGCTCAGTCCAACTCGTCTTGGCTTTCTTCGTCGTGTAGTGCGCGGTAGCAAAACTTGTTCTACTAGCACTATGCTCTGGCGGAGGGTTTTGCTTCGTGCCAAGCCGGATGCTAAGGTCACCACTTATGCTCCTTGGCTGCATTGAAGGCAGGGTTGACCCAGACCCACATGAGAGAATCCGAAGACATGGGACCCTTATTTAGTAACTTAAATCATAGGATCCTTACTATAAGGACCCCAAAATAAGGGATCCAGAGAATGAGAAGCCAGCAAGCCGAGGACAGCTCCTTCAGCTACCGTCAAGACCAGGTGGCCCGCCTCGGAGATCGGGCGAGGCCTTCGATCTGAAAAAGCAGGGCTTTGGGGAGTAACGCGTATGTAAGAACGACTTGAAGGTCCAGGGCTGAAGCTTTGAGTGATCTTTGCCAGTCTTCGCATCAGCTTAGGGTCGATTAGGCCGGCAGTTTCAGAGTCCATGCAGTCCAGCGGAGTTCTTCCCGACAGCTGCGATGTTTTACGGAGATCAGAATTCAGATTGTGGTCAGGCCCGAGACGACGGAGGAAGATCGACGACTCTTGGTCTCAGATCAGAGCAGTATCTTTATTCTAGCTGATTTCTTGTGAGTTTTCTTCTGTTTTACCGGAAGCCGTATCGCTTACGTGCGCTATCCTTTGCATTGATTCAAGTAGTGCTTCATGTTGCAAAGAACAGGAAGAGGGTTCTGGCAGCAGAACATAGTGTAACGCTGCTGCAATAACCATTCTCCTTGACTACTCCTCTGGTTGTCAATTTCCCGCATACCCTTATGACTGCCTCTGTTGTTGCTGCAATTTTGCAGGCTCCTCCATCTGTTGCAAAAGCCTGGCTGCGCTTTCATAAGGCGTAATGGAAGTCTTTACAGCCAAAGCCCAATGTATTTGCATGGAAAACGCCGTCAAAGGCTTTCTTGTCTGGTTTTTCCTATGTCATAATGGATTCCCTATGGCCCAATCTATGACCTAACCTATGGCCTAATGCAACTACCTTGTGAGCTAATCATTTTCGCGTCCTAAGAAGAGAATCTACAGTCTCGCCCACACGACAATCATTAGGTCATATGGAATGTGCATTCGGCCATAGGCCAGGCCATAGATTAGGCCATAGGGAATCCAATGGGTCATTTGGAAAAAACGCGAAGTCCCAAGCTCCTTCTGGTATAAGGATTGTTTCAGGCGATATGGAAAAAACGAGGTTCCGGGATCCTTCGGGTAGAAGGAATGCATAAGGCCATATGGAAAGGCGAGGCTGAGCATTCCTTCTGGTGCCAGGTGCTTTGATGTGTAGTCCTGCCACCGCGAGCTACTTCTGCTACTACTCCTACTACTGACTACTACTGCTACGACGACGACTACTACTACTACCACTACGACTACAACTACTTCCACAACGTGCTGCTGCTGCTGCTACTACGACGACGGCGACGACGACGACGACAACTAGTACTGCTACTAGTACTACTACTATGGTAGCAGTACATAGTACATCCACATCTACATCTAGAGCCATATCTACATTTACATCTAACACTACTGCTGCTACTACTACTACTACTACTACTACTACTACTACTGCCACTGCTACTACTACTACTACTACTACTACTACTATTACTACTACTATTACTATTACTATTACTATTACTATTACTATTTCTACTACTACTACTACTACTACTACTACTACTACTACTACTACTACTACTACTGCTACTAGTACTACTACTACTGCTACTGCTGCTGCTACTACTACTGCTGCTACTGCTACTGCTACCGCTACCGCTACAGCTGCCCCTACCGCTACTCCTGCTGCCGCTGATGCCACCCCTACCGCTACTACAACTGCTGCTGCCCGACTACCCCTAGTACTCTTACTTCTACTCCTACTCCTGCTCCTACTGCTGCCACTCCTCCTCCTCAGATTGTGACGACGTAATGAGTATCTGTCAAGATCTTCATGTGGGACGGCGGTTGCATGTCAGCTTGCTTACTTCGTGCCCGCCCGAAAGCTGCAAGGAAGATTTCAGGCCAGCCCGTTCATGCAAAGAATGCGGGAGATTGATGAGAAAGCCTGGCAGCAGTTCAGTGAGAGGGACAAGAAGCGGTCCCAGACAGATCCAAGTTTCAGCCCCAAAGACACAGATTTCGAAGCGCCGAAGTCCTTCAAGTATGACAAGTCGGTGAACTACTACAAGACTCTCGGTATCGAGGAGTATGCCACCAACGATGAGATTAAGAAAGCCTATCGGAAGCTGTCGCTCAACTACCATCCCGATAAGCAGACCAACAAGACTCAAGAGGAGAAGGACGAAGCAGCAGCCATCTTCATGGAGATCAAGAATGCGTACAAGCTCCTGGCCGATGATCCGACCCGGCGTCAGTATGACTTCGAACGTGATCGCGACAACGTGAGCGCGCAGAGCCATGGGAAGAAGCCCCAGGAGAAGAATGGCTTCGACGCTGGGGAGGCTCTGCAACGGATGATGGCAAAAGCCAAGGAGAACAAAAAGCTTCCAAGTGAGATCATCACGGTGCCAGTGCATTGCAGGATAGAGAAGTTCGTCTTCGGTGGTCAAAAAACCTTGAAGCGCACGAGGCTCGTGAAGGACAAGAGCTACGGTGGTTTCAACGAGGAAGTGAAGAGCTTTCGAATCGATTTGCCAGCTGGAGTGGAGCAGCCCTGGAGTGTGGACTTCCGGAGGCAGGGTGACCAGCATGAGGGACGAGAGGCTGACACGATCCGCTTTCTGTTCTCGGCGAAGCCGCACTTATGGTTGGATCGAGATGGCCAGGATATCAAACTGAGGGAAGCGATCCAGTTGGGTGCGTCCATGCGATCCGAGGCTTACTTGTCTGCTTCCATCGCACCCTTTTCGGGTCGCCAGGTCTTCATCTGGGGTCGCAATCCGTTCCATGGATCCACTGCGGTGGCCGAGGAAGGGCAGTTGGCTGTGCAGCTGCACGGCCTCGGCTTGGGCCCGAAGGGAGCCTTGGCTTTGCTTTTGAAGCTGGGGATGGGAACCAGGCGCGACAGCCATCGCTTGCACGTGCCGCCGGGGCCCCCGGCCGGGCGCCGACAGTTCCTGGAGCGCTTCGGCCTCGCCCCCTCCGCCGGCTTCAGCGAGCCGCTTCCAGAGCCAGGCCAGTGCCCTAAGCAGGACATGCAACCGCATGCTGAGCTCTCCCGAATCTTAAAGATTTGCGTCGTCCCCTGTGAGGTGCCGGAAGCATGCTGCGGACCCTCCTGGAGCGACGCCAGTCCAGGAGAGAGATGCACGACAAGCTCACTGCGGACATCGAGTTGAGGCAGGATCATTTTGGCAGGGCAAGAAGGTGAGAAGGTGAAGGAGTCGTAAGTGCCTCCCATGCTATGTTCAGGCCAATCGGACAAGCCATCCGGCTCTTCACCAAGCCACCGAGCACTCTCACTTTTTTGGCTAGCACAGCTCCAAAGTGCCTTGCCTCACACGTGATATGAAGACGGAGTGCCCAGTCTAGTGAGACGGCGAGTGCTCGGCCGAGGTATGAGCTTTTTGCAGTGAGCCTCGACTGTCCCGCATGCGGCAAGAAGAAGGCTTCGGCAGATTGGGACCGGCTGAAGGCCCGCTTGACAACGGTGCTGCATCTGGGCATGATTTACTTTCAGCCTATTTGTGTGCCTTGATGTGAAGATCTTCTGGACGTGGGCTCCTATAGGTCCCAGATGTGACTCCGAGGCAAGAGACAGCCTTTATCCTTCTCGCGCAGGCGCGCAGTGTGCGACCCCGGTCTCTGCTGGCTAAGCCGATCTTTGATGATAGGATCGCGCTCTCAAGGGCTGATCGCCCCATGCCGTGGAAGAACATGGGCGATCAGGCTTTCAAGCAGGGGAGCTACTGGATTGCGTGTGCTGTCTATGCAAAGCGGCTTGAGGAGTTGCGAATCGCGGTTCATGTGCAGACGGATGATGATGCAGAGGAGGAGGAGGAGGAGACGTGTGAAGAGGAGGTGATCGATGTGAGCGGACAGCGCGGCCCAGACCTGGTGCCAGAAGCCGCGAAAGTTCTCTCCAACCGGGCGGCTTGTCTCATCAAGGTGCAGGACTACCTGGCGGCCGTGGCCCATGCGAGGAAGGCTGCCGCCTTGGCTCCACGCTGGGCTCGGGCCTGGAGTCGCTTGGGCCAAGCGGCCTGGGAGCTCGGGGACAAGTTCCGTGCCGAGGCCGCGCAAGCCTACGCCAAGTCGGTGGAGATGGACCCGCTGCCCTCCACCGTCCAAGCGCTGCAGAGCAGCGTCTCCCAGTTGCAGGGCCCGAATCCGGATGCGTCGCACGCTGCCAAGGAGAAGGGGAACGAGGCCATCCGCTCGGGTCAGATTGGTCTTGGCATTGCCCTCTACACGCAAGGCATCGCTCAGCTCCCAGTGCCAACGTCAGAGGATCGGTCGAATTCCGACGCGAAGCCCGACGAGCACGCGCTGCTTCGGGGAGTGCTCTTCACGAACCGCTCGGCGGCCTTCTCTCGTGTGCGAAGCTGGGATGCCGCGGTCAAGGATGCGAAGGAGGCAGTGGCAGCACAGCCAGGCTTGTCCAGTGCTCACTCCCAGCTCGGAGTTGCATTGCTAGGAAGTGGCTTCCATCAGGAGGCTTACGTCCAATTCGCACGGGGATTCCAGTTGGATTCAGAGCACAAGCCTTCCATCAAAGGCCGCAACACCTGCCTCAAGGAGATGGTGGCCTGGAAGTCGGCCTCTGCCACTGCACGATACCAGAACCGTTTCTGGCTGGACCTGCGTAGACCAAAGGGTTCGACGAGGATTTTCGCAATCTCCGACCTGCACTTCGATCAGAAATGCAACGAGGACTGGGCCCATGCGATCGATGACATAGCCTTCCTGGACGATGTCCTCATTGTTGCTGGCAACGTGGCTGACACGAAGGTCGGGATGGCACGGGCGCTCACCACACTCAAGTCCAAGTTCCGGAGAGTCTTCTACACAGTTGGTAACCACGAAATGCAAATCGCGACCTCGGAGTTTGCACGTTATCCTGACTCTATCGCGAAGCTTTCTGACATTTTCAGTACATGCGACGAGTTGGGAATTGATGTTTTCCCTGCCCCGGTGTGCGAAGGGGTTCTAGTGGTGCCGCTCCTTTCCTGGTGCAGTGCCGAATTCGACCATGAAGATCCGTTTCCGGATCCGAACTCCAACTTCAATCGTCGCTGCTCGTGGCCCATGGATCCAGACTTGCAGGTCTGGAAGTATATGATGAAGTTGAACGAATCCTTCCTTAGCTTCCAAGGCTATGAGACCGTGATTACGTTCTCCCACTTCCTCCCACGACAGGGCCTGCCTTTTGACAAGACCAGGAAGAATGCTGTGAAGGCTGTAGGCTGTGATATGATTGACGAGCAAGCAAGGGCACTCAAGAGCAAGATGCATGTCTACGGTCACGGACGCGTGAGATATGCTCAGATGCACTCGGGTGTGCGGTACGTCAGTCCACCTATCGGTTTCGAAGCGGATTGGCCGAAGGACCACCCTCCGCGCCTCATGCTGGTACATACCGGGAAGAGCCTCTGCATGCAAGAGTGGGGAGCAGACGATGAGCCTCCCTTAGGGTATGTCAAGCGGCTTCTGAATTTGAGTTTTTACACCATGCCCGGTTTGCGTGAGAGTGAGCTTCGGAAGCTCCAAAACACAGTGCAGAGGCACAACTCCTTCACGGGGATTGCATGCTCTTTTGACCGCCTTGGCAGCAAAAACCAGGACAAAGAAGCACTGTCAAAGGATGCGTTCCCAGACTTTGCACAGTTGAGCAAGGATGCCACGCATGTCATGATCACGGTTGCAGACTGTCTGGACAACCTGAAGGACCTCTGGAAGAGTGATGCTTTTGCGAAGGACTGGCCTGCCGCGATTGCACCCCACGCACGCAACACGGTATCTTTCACCACACCACTCGGATTGGACCTTGTCCATGCGAAGAAGCGAGACCCGATGCTCATCGTATACGGCTTACGGTTGAGCGAAGCGGTCAAGGAAGATGGTGACGATTATGGCAAAATGCAGAAAGCAGTCGAGGCCATCAACAAGCTTCCTGGCATCGATGGCAAGATTGCAGTGTCCCTCCACCCTACGGGCTTCTCCCGATTCTCGCACGGTGAGCTGTTGGAAGAGTTGGGTGAGAAAAGTGACAAGAGCTCCGGGCTTACTCATTGCTTCACGGTGCTTGTGGATGAGCCAGCCAGCTACAAGATGCTTGCTCAAAGTAAGACCTTCGGAAAGTGGAAGTCTTCCTACGAGCCTTACCTGGTTGGTCGCGGTCCGAATGTCATGGCCTTCGCCCTGCCTCTGGATATCGCAGCAACGGCATCAGCTCCCAAACCTCCCAAAGGGACGAAGGGAAGCAATGGTTTTTCCAAGTCCAAGCGATGAAACTTCTGCCTGGATCCCTTACAAAAGGCTGGCTGGACAGAGCGTCCATGCAAAGGCCTGCGATGGTAGATCCATACCCAGCGGCTGTCGTCGCGGTACCGGGACTCGAAGCTGCTACCAGTCGGGCATGCGTATCATTTCCATATCAAAAGAAGTCGACGGCATCCTCTAGCAGACATTCCGTTTGAGAGGTCCTTCGGTTTTCTGCAGATGCTGAGATCATGTGCCGCTGTGCCCTCTAGACACCCAGCGAGGCACCCGTGATTGTTTCCTTATCGATGCCGCAGCCTCGGTGCAGCTTTGTGCTTTGGAGCTCGAGTTCTGAGCTCCTATCTCATGAGGCGAGCAGTGTCAGCATGTCGTGATACAAGGAACTGTACAGTCATAATGGTATTTGTAACTAGGACCCAGACCAGCGCAGTTGCAATTAAGGCCGTGTGAGAAGCAGGAGTATGTATTTTCATCAGTGTTAGTACCGCGAATGGACCTGGAGACCTTGTCCAGAACCAGCCACGACACAGCAACAGTGGTGCTAAGAACGACAGATCAGCCACAAGACTGATCATGTTTGACGACGAAGTAAACGGAAGTTGCACAAGCAGTGGAAACACCAAAATGAACAACAACAACGACAACAGATACAACAGCCCTAGCGTAAGTCAACAGTGCTCGCGCGGTTCGTCGCATTTGATCACCATGCCAAGAAAGCTAAGCATCAATAAACGCAACCGGGATCGCAAATGAACGCCGACGATGCTGGCAACACGAGGAGGAAGAAGTAGTAGTAGTAGTAGTAGTAGTAGTAGTAGTAGTAGTAGCCGCCACAAGTGCTCAAGCGGCCGCGCTGAATGAGAGGTTTTGAACAGGCTTGGGGCGCAACTGCTGTGCTAGAGGTTCCAACCGGGCCCTTTTCTGAACAGTAAAGGTTTGTGCCTCCTTCTACGCCATGGTCCTCTCCCTTTTCTCACAGGAGCTGCTTTGAGCCGCCAGGTCCCAATTCCTGGGCCCATACTCTGTTTAAAACATTGCAACACTGGGTAGGCGGTAGGGTTTCCACCTCCGCGCGGTGGAGGGAGTCATTAGGCTTCTGTCTCTTGACGAAAGTAGCGGATGGCGCAATTGCCAGTGCACTCACAAAACTTTGCATCTCTTCGTAAGAATTCGTTCAAGACAGCATGTAGAAGGACAGTCCGTAGTGACGGGCCCGTTCCATACCGAGGGCAGGTTCTGACACCTACCCTAGTTGATCGACTGGGGGTGCGCCCCCCACCCACTCGAAGAGAGCTTCAGTCACAGACTGCTGACTCCCCTGCATATGGCACAGCCTCCCGCAGGGCAGGAAGGTTGGAAAGATCCATTCGAGTTCTTTCGTGGAACGCTGGCCACCTAGGCCAACAGCAATGGGGCGAACTCAAAACGTGGCTAGCAGCTGAAGCCTCTCATCACTGCGACGTCCTCATATTGCAGGAAACGCACTGGACTGAGACCAGTGAATTCAGCGTATCTGGGTGGTACTGTATCTCCTCAGCCTCGGAGTCTACCAAACCCAACACCCGGCCTAAACAAGCAGCGAAGCGAAACACTCGGCAAGAACCGCGAGCTCCATCCACGACTCGCGCTGATGGAGTCATGATCCTATTCTCTCCCAAGTTCGTCCCCAAGAGCTTACGCTGGAAGGAGTGGAGCCCGGGTAGGGTCTTAGAAGCTCGTGCAGACATTGCAGGTACTCGGCTGGTTGTAGTCGCGGTGTACCAACACGCTTGGTCTTCTGCCAAGACCATCCAGTCCAACAAGGACGACCGTGCTAAGGTACTATCTGTCATGTCCAAGGTGATCAAGCAGGTGCCTAAAAGGGACTCCCTTATTGTAGCAGGCGATTTTAACACTTCCCTGCGTCCGAGCTCTCCATTAGTGGGAACGCACGTGAAGCCACCCACTGAGGACCGCCCTGACGAATCCAACTTGTTTAACCTGCTGCTCAGGCTGCGTTTGGTTGCCCTTAACACCTGGCAATGTGACCATATAGCTACCTTCTCACAAGGAGGAGTGGAGTCGCAAATTGACTTCATTCTAACCAAAGAATCTACGGCGGGAGGCAAAGCCAAACGGTCAGCCCCATGGGTGGACTGTCCGTTGGGCAGCTGGAAGAAAGGAGGGCATTACCCACTCAAAGCTGACGTACCCCTCCAACACCACTGGCTGCTCCCATCCCACAAGCCCAGTACGCGCCGGTATGATTCACTAGCTCTACAGGCCTCAGTCAGGGAGGAGGACGATACGGCCAAGGCCCTGCACAACTGGATCGCTTCCAGAATTGACACCTGCCAGGACCCCAAGGCATGGAATGCGTTGCTTTTGGAAGGTGCAGAACGCTTTTTCCCCAAAATTCCCAAAAGAAGACCGATCCCGCTGGAATCGGAAACCCGTCGCATGTGGCGGGCCCGCACCCATGACAGGGCTGCGAATACCACTCCCTCAGCACAGCTGATCGAGTCACCTAAAGCAATGGCACAGCCTCCTAATCAGAACCCGCCACGTCCGCCGGAAACCGAAGCTGAGCTGGCACAAGTGGCACACCGCCAGGCTGTGAAACAAGCAAAGAAAGATCGAATTGCGAGTTTCATATCGGAGGTGGACGCGTGCCTAGCTGAAGGTGATCAACATATCTCCTTCCAGACCCTCAAAAAGCTGCAGCCTTGGCAGCCTGCGCGCAGAGCTCAGCTAAAGGACAACACAGGACATCTACTAGGTCCAGCGCAGGAACTAGCAGCCCTCAGGGACTATGCCAATCAGGTATTTGCGGCCCACCCTCCGTTAAGGACAATGCATGGAGCTTTCCCTGCTTTGGAGCCGCCCAAACTAGCAGCTCACATACATTCCATCAAGCCGAATAAAGCTGTTCCTGACGGAGCGGCACCTGCGGCTGTATGGAGGCTGTGTAGCGATCTCGTTGCACCGGTCCTCTCCGAACACGTATCATCCAAGCAGGCCGAGGACAGTCTAGAATCCGACCTCGTAGACGCTGATCTCTGCTTAATTCCCAAGCCGGGCAAGCCCTCTGACAAACCCGCAAACCTGAGACCCCTGGGCATCCTTAGACCTGACGCTAAGGGACTGGCGGGAGCGGCCAGAGAAGCGCTCCAACCACTGACACTCTCGTTCCTCAAGCACATGCCACAGTTCGCTTATCTACCAGGTCGGGGGCTGTCAGACGCGCTAGAACGCGTGGTGCATCACTTGCGAGAGGCTCGAACCCTGTTAGAACAGGCTCACCCCACGAGACATGCCTTGCAACAAGGCACACAGGCCCCAGCCTTAGTCGGCGGCCTCACCTTTGCACTTGACCTCAGCCAAGCGTTTGACACTGTCTCTCGCCAAGAGATCATCGACCTTCTTCAGAGAGAAGGGGCTGATCAGGACACGGTCCATCTCGTTCAGGCTCTACATGATGGGTCTCGTTACGTCCTTCACGCGCAGGGAGATTCCACCTCTGTTGAAACCACAACAGGCATTAAACAAGGATGTAAGCTTGTCCCCACACTCTTCTCGTTCCTTACAGGTGACCTTTTCCGCTCTTTGGTTGACCTTTTCGGTGCTGAGCAGGTCTTGAAATTCCTGACAGGATATGCCGATGATCTCACGCTCCATCGGACTATCCGCTCTGACAAGGACCTCAGGGCCATTCATGCGCTCATCGCAGCGCTACTTGAGGAGGTCCGCAAACACCGCCTACGTGTCAACATTAGCAAGTGCGTCATCTTAGTGAAGTTAGCGGGTAGAGAATCCCAAAACGTGATGAACAAACACGGCTGCTGGATCACCAACTCCAAGGGCGAGCAGGTTCGCGGATGGCGCATAGGGCCCAACAAATCGTTCCCCGCCTTCCAGTGGGTCTCCTGTAGCAAGTACCTGGGGGTTCTGATCTCCTACAACCACTTCGAGCTGCAGTCCTTACACTACCGCATCGGGGAAGCCAAGCAAAAGCTGCATCAAGTCCGCCAGTTTGTCTACAATCGCCGGCACGCGAGCACCATGTCGAGACTTAAGGTTTGGCAAAGCACAGTCCTGAGCACACTAACGACAGGCCTCTCAGACGTCGGACTCAGCGAGGAGTCGGCCAAGCAGCTACGCAGTTGGCATGCTTACAAGGTGCGATCAGTGCTGAACTTGCCAGCACACACCAGCCGCATCACCACTAAGGATCTCTTCCAGCTTTATAGCATTCAGGACCCAGTTCAAGCGATGCAGGTCAAGCTCAGGAAGCGACTCCGCAAACTTGAGCGACGTGCAGCCAGAAGCCCAGATATCACAACCGATCCTTCTGTCTTGCAAGTCATCCGGGACAAGCTGCATTTCATGTCACAGCTCCCTGAAACAGTTGAGCACCCTGTAGCCCTACATGCATGCACACTCTGCGATGCCTCTTTCGAGACAGCAAACGGGTTACACTTACACAAGTCGAGAGTGCATCCAGCCAGCATTGACCGATTTGTGCCATCAAGCTTCGATCGACAACTCCACGCGGTGGATGGGATGCCGCAATGTGCCGCTTGTATGCGCAAATTTCATCAATGGAAAGGTCTTCGTGACCACTTGTTGTCAGGAGCATGTCCGGAACCCCAGAAGCTTCGAACTCTGAACGTGACTGACAAACACTCAAGTCACCCTGAGGTAAGGACCCTGTCCCAGCTGCGACAGGACATTGCCCAACTCCCACAACATCGAATAGCGGTGATCTCAAAGACAGCGGAGGCCCGGGTCCTGATCCATAGGTGCCTCACGTGTGACTTCTGGACTTTCGATCACACTAAAGTCAAGTCACACTTCCGTCAGGCGCATCCAAAGGACTGGTCAAGGCTGCACAAGCGCGCAGTCTCTATATGTCAGGGTTTCTCGCCTCACCTTGCCAAGGGACACCCGTGTTCATTCTGCGGTTACAAGGTCTATGATCGTCGACTGCACCCGGAACAATGCCCCGTACTTTATCAGGTGAGCACACAGTGGCTGCGAGGGCAACCGGAGGCAGAGGAAGCCGTTACTGCTCCCCCCTCCAAGCCCCAAGAACGGTCACTGACCCACTTCTTTAAGTCACGGTCGAATGGCACAGCCTCCAATCAGTCGAGCACAGCTCGTCATACCCCGGCAGACAAGCAGGCGTCCGATCCGCAGTCCTCAGGACAAGCGGAAATTAGACCCGAAGGAGTGCACAAACGCGCTCTGACTAACACGTCCAACTCGTGTTACGCCAATGCCCTATTCCAGGCTCTGCATCAGATCTCGAGCTTTGGGTATGACCTAGGTGCTTTCCAGTCCGTCCTATCCCAT